CAAGTGTACGGTATAGCTGTAGTGAGTGGCGAACAAGGTCGTATTCCACAGAGATTGTTGTCAAAATAACTAAGTATCAAAATGTAAACGATTAAATATTATTCAGTCTAATGCAAATTTGAATGGTGATTTTATTCTAAACTAATGAATGATTGCAAAATAAATTCTAACACTAATGAAGGCTTGTTCTAAGATAAATCAAGAATGAGAAAATAGATTCTAGGCTATGCTTTCCTCGGGATTATTCGAACAAAGATTTCCTATTCATTCAAACCTTATTTAATTCTACCATTCGTAGGGATAATCACTACGGTAATTTACACCTTTCTCTCGAACAAGTTAAATCGTAGATATTAATTGTTATCTATCTTCTCTCGGTCTCAAGATGAACAATCAACTCCCATAAGCTCCTAAGATTCTAGTTCCCTCGCAAGATTCTATCAACCTCTTGGTCTGTTTAGTCTCTCACGTTACAAATTTCCCAATTCTAGCAATCAACTATCTTCTCTCGGTCTCAAGTCAATCACAAATATGCATAAATACGGGCCCTTATATTCACACAATTAATAAAAGCACAAGAAATTGATAAACGAATGATAAACCGAAATGAATAAACAAAATCACTTCATAAAATAATCCGAGTACTCGCAAATCCTAGAATCTCTAAAAGGTTTAGCTACTAAACATATTCTCAAAACTCAAAATAAATATATTCATGAGTTCAATGAAGAAGAAAAAGAGAAAAGAAAGAAGAACTATTGTCGCCGTTAGTTCCCGAATCTTCAATCTTGACTTCCTCAAATCCCTCATGTGTTTCGTGCTTTCTCTAGGCCTCCAATGGTGTCAAAAGTCCCAAAAACGAGTTCCTAAGATCTGTTTTATACTGTAGGGCTATTCTGGGTCAAAATAGGGAAGAAATCGCACAAGAATCCTATTCCCCGCTGAACTAGTCTGCGCGTCACACGAGTCGTGTGACTTTTCTCAACGTTTCGGCAAACTTCCAGACTCACACGACTGGTCACACGACCGGGTCACACGAGTCGTGTGAGGCCACACGACCCGTGTCTCAACCCACACGACCCGTGTGAAAAAGCCGTAGCTGCGTTTCTTATTTTCTCAACCCACACGACCCGTGTCGCTACCCACACGAGTCGTGTGACCTCTTCTGCACCCGTTTTCGCCGTTTTTCGTCCCGATTCCATTTTCAACGCTTTTCCGGGTATATTTCCTGCAAAACCAACGACAAAAACACATCTATCATAGATTAATAAATCAAACAAAATGGTGCACAATCACACGATAACCAAGGCCTAATATCACAATATATCACTCATAATGCATGAAAATATGATGAATATCACAACCTCTACATGAATTGACTCCTCATCCTCATTTTCTAGATAATGAAATGAACATGTTAAATATGGAGATGAACATGCTTAAAAACATGTTTAAGATAATGAATATGTTATTCAATCAGATGAACATGTTTAAGAATGAAATGAACATGTTAAATATGGAGATGAACATGCTTAAGAACATGTTTAAGATAATGAATATGTCATTCAATCAGATGAACATGTTTTAGAATGAAATGAACATGTTACCTGCATGTTGTTCCTGCTCCTGTCCATCAAAACCCATTTCATCATCAATTCCTTCATTTCTTTGCACATCAATAACACCTTGTGCGATTTTCATGAGAACTGATGCATGGTTCTGAAGTGCATGATGAATAATGAGGGCAGCACCCAAATCCGAGCTCTTTGCCCTTTCATATACCTCTCGAACTTCAGACACGAATGGTGCTATATTTGCCATAGCCTTTTCAAACCTTTCAACTAAATTTTCTTGCTGTTTCTTTTTAGGAAAAAAACTTGTATGAGATGAAGCTGTTATATTATTATATGAACATGATACATTATGATATGAACATTTTTTTATAATGAGATGAACATGTTGGTTAAAGGGATGGAGTTGTTGTATGAAGGGATGAACATGTTTCAGATTGAAGATCAACATGTTATATTATTTTGTGAATATGTTGTATGATAAGATGTACATGTTGTAGAAACTTATAAACAGAATTTACCTCGACCACATGTTCATCAGCTAATGTGGCTGCTTGATGCGCTCCATCTCTTGGTGGTTTGATGGGATCAAGTATTAACCCCATCCCAAAACCCTGGCCACTCTGCTCTTCCCTAACTCTCTTGAAAATTGCTTGATTTGTCCTATAAGCAATAGCAGGGAATTTTCGGGGCACATAAGTTTTGTTCATAAACTGGACCCTGTCCAGATAGCATACCACCAAGAAAGTGAGTGGACCATTAAAATGGGCCTCTCCACCACTTTCATTCCACATCTTGACCGATTTAGAAAGAGCTTGTAACACATACTGACACCAATTGTAATTGATAATGTCAGATGGTTTTCGCAACGATTTAAGCAATCTAAACTTGCATTCTTGGCCCCTATTTCTCCAGAGAAATAGGGACACCACAGCAATCAAAAAATTCTTTTAAAGTCATCTCCATAGACTCTCTGTCCTCTCTCAACGTCTTTTCCAGTTAAATATTGCACCAGCTTTTTAGCTGTTGGAGCTCCAGCCGTACGCTTAAAACCAAAGGTCTCCCTAAAATCCCCAAGCATCTTATTATATTGTTCATCCTTGTCATACCAATCTCCCTCAATGACCTCTTTTGGTCCTCTCGGTAGGCCCAGAACAGCCTCAACATCTTCGGCGGTAATATTCATCTCTCTATTACCGCGGAGAATGAGAGTGTTACTGGCATACCTGTGATAACATGTGATATAATGTGATGTACATGTTTAATAAGAAAATGAACATGTTGTAGAATGAAAATAACATGTACATTCTAATGAAAATGAAATTTCACAAATTACCTGTACTTTCTGACCAAGAAATAACAAAGATTTGCTGGCGCAATTTGTGTAATTTTCATGTCGAGAAGATGACCAAAACCTGTACTCTTTACATCTTGTTTCTGTCGGTCATCCAAGTCTTTGAAAAATTTGCACAACGCTAGAGGGGAAACTCTATTTAAGAATCCCCCTTCTTCTTTTATTTCAGAGGTTAATTTTGGCTTCTTTCTTTCAGTTTGCTCACTCAGAGTATCAGTTTTTCTTTTTCTACAAAAATAATATCATGAACATGTTACAGTATAATATGAACATGTTACAGTATAAAATGAACATGTTAAATTGTATAATGAACATGTTCAAATATAAAATGAACATATTACAGTATGATATGAACATGTTTCAGTATTTAATGAACTTGTTTTATTGTATAATGAACATGTTCAATTACAAAATGAACATGTCTACATTCTATATAAGATGTTCTTTGAACATGTATAACAACGAAATGAACATGTTTAATAAACAAATGAATATGTTTAAAAGCAAATTGAACATGTTCAAATGAACTAATATACGAATGAAGATGAACAAGGCGGACATACAGTTCACCAACATTTTCTGGCCGTTGTTTCGAACTATTTTTTCTACGGGCTTTAATTTTATCCTGTGTGGCAAAAAATTTATAACACATTATACAATCTTCTGCAATGACTACTTTAAACCTTAGGCACAGAAATTTGAAATTGAAAATAGGGTTTTGAGAAGTGAATTGAATCTCTAATCGGAATGGTTTCAACCCAAGGCACAAAATACATACCAGCATTTTCCGCAATGTCTCGTTTTCCATCTGCCATGAAGTAGGGTTTTTCATTTCTAAGTTTAATATTTAAAATCTATGAAATTGAAATTTAATCGACATGAAAAGCAAAGAAATCTTACCTGTGAAGTAGAGATCGTCGGAAATTGAGCGCTTTTCAGTTAAAATTGTCTTCACCGGGAACTTTTGCTCGTGAAACAGAGAAAATTAAGAGAAAACAATGGTGAGAATGAAGAGGAGTTGCAGTTGGGGGAGAAGCGGTTGGAAAATTGAGGCACGATGCCGGCAAAATTGGAAAAAAAAAATAAATGAGCAAAAGTTGTAATTTGAAAGGGCGCGTGGTTTCACGTGAAATAAAAAGTTTTTCAACACATTTTTTTACCTGGCTGGCGCGTGTAAATTTGACCTGGCACACCTAGCAAGGTGTGCCAAGGCACATGATAGTGCTAACTGCTTGTTTTATATCTTACAAATAATTGTCGTTTAAGGTAAATTATCATCAATGATCAAACGTTCAAGTTGTGGAAAAAATAAAAAATAAAAAGAGAGAAAGACATAATAGAGAAAAAGCAATGTCAAGTTGCACTTACCCGTGTGATAGAACCACTTGTTATTGCCGAGCCTAGTCTTGCAAGGGCAGAGAATGAATAATGCAAAACTCAATTATAAAACTGCTTTAACATAGTCAAATCATGAGAGCTACGCATAACTTATTGAAATAATATTGGAATATCGGTCGCAAATTTTATTGAAATAATTTTTTATTAAATTGTTTTTTGTTGAAATCTATATATTTTAATAGTAATATTTTTCATAAAGATATGATCCTTGCCTGAACATATCATCTCTGGAAATATTATGCCCGAGCTTTTGACTGACAAGCAAGGAAAAACTCGGTATAAAATTTCATATAGATATTTGAGATATAATTAATTTATTATTGTTCTTTAAGCTTATACATGGTATTGTAGATAATTTTTTTTTTTTTAATGGTATCGTGAAAAAATACAATTGTAAGACTTGTAAGAAATCCAATTTTAAACATGTGCTAGAAATTTATCATAATAAAGAATATATTCTCGCACAAATTTACTTCCGGCATAATTTAAAAATAAAAATAAAAATTATGGACACCAAAAACACAGCTTAATTTGTCATCAAAAATTCTACGTCAAACTTTGAGCACTAAATAAACATAAATTAATCAGACTAGATCCAGCTGTTTGCCTCTGACTTTCAAACACTTTGTAGGTCAATAAAAACTGATCAACAGACACCTATAAATCGGCCCTGTGAGCAACATTTTGTCACACACAATTGAAAGCCATCAAACACAGTCATCCTCACCACACAAACATATATATTCTCAGACAAAAAAAGGCCATGGCCATTATAATCACAAAAACAATCTTGATTTTCTTATTTGTTACAATAATATCAACCTCAACCATAGAGGCACAGGCAAATCCACCAAGCCGGCTAATTGGAATAATACACGTCAACGGCACATTATATTGTTCTACAAATGGAGCTAATAATTCAAGTCCATTTTTCCCTAGTAAGTCCCAAATTCCATCCAAAAATTTGATAACAAACAACTATAATTGCACTCAAATTCTTCCAAACAAAAATAAATAAATAAATAAATTGTTCATAGATGCTACGGTGCAAGTTGCGTGCACGGTGGACGTGATAGCAAATTCACCGTCAAATATGACAACGGATAGTAACGGTGCATATCGGGTGGTTTTAATCCCACGTCCGAATGCCACCATAAGCTCGATAGTCTCCAATTGTCGAGTTTTTGTGCTGACTCCACTTTCGAGCTGCAATCGGGCCATGCCGTCGAACGGGCTAGTTTCGGGCCTGCAATTTGTGAGGACTGTCCCGAATTTGTTCTGGTACATAACCTATATGGTTGCATCTGGTTTTGCACCAGAGGCTTAGGGGGTGATGAATTCATTGTTTTGTATGAAGAAAGTGTTTGGTATGAAATATGAATTATGGTGGCTAATTAAATTACATGTGATGATCGAATGAGAAGTGCTTGGTATGAAATATGAATTATGGTGGCTAATTAAATTACATGTGATGATCGAATGAGATAAATATGAGGAAGTTGTATGAACGAATAAAAATTGTTGGGTTTTTTTAATCAGAATATTGTTGGAAAATCAGTTTTATAAAATTGGGTTCACCCAATTTTGACTGATTTTTTTATGGCTAAATATTTAATTCGGATTGAATTAAATTGTGTAAACAAATTCTATGTTTCGAATCGATACTCGGTATATTTATTATTGTAACAAATATTACGGTTGAGCTAGTCCTAATTGTAAAATCCTACACGAAATTTTTATTATTCCGTTACCACAAATGAAATAAATTCTCAAATAACAAGAAAGTGAGATCAAATAACAAGACAACGATTACACAGTCAATCCCAAGCCGATGGCCCGCCCAACCCGATTTCATCGGCCCGCGACAGCTCGAGTGCAGCAGGATCGACAGCAGCACGGTTTTTCTTCTTTTTCTTGATTTGATGATGAATTACCAACCCACTGTTGGCGTCTGTATTTTGATTAATTTCGGGCACGCTATTTACAAAAAGATCCACGAAAGGAGTCTCTGAGCTGTCGATGGTGTTCGCTTTTTTTTCTCCTTCGGTCTTCCCTAGTGATTTCTTCTCTGCCTCCTTAAAGGGTTGACTCTTGTTAACTTTCCTGTGCTTTGATAATTTCTTCGTGTCCTCAAGCTTTGGGTTTGGAGCATCTGATTCATTCGCTGCTGCGCTTTCATCGTGTTTTGACTTTGACTTTTTCTTGCTTTGCGTCTCTGTGATTTTGTTTTTTTCTGCAGAATCTGCACCCTCTTTGTCTTGCAGATTTTTTCTTCTCTTCTTTCCTGAGCCCAGATCTGCAGCATCAGCAGTATCGAATTGATTATGGATAGTTGTGATGATGAAGCTTGAGCTTCACTTGAGTAATCAGTTTAGGAACTAGTAAGAGATAAATACAACATAGCCAACACTGGTAACCCAAGTTGTTCTATTTTTTTCATATATATATATATATGATTTCATTTTAAATTTCGCGATTCATAGAAAAAAGATTTTCAGATCCACTGGTAGAGTTAGTATAGTTACCTCCTTAAGATTAAGAAAGACAATATCAACCTCAAGGAGGTTTTTTGTAATTTTGAAACTTCTCTTGGTGTTTTATAAAATTTCGTAATTATGCCAATCATTAATCATATTACCAGTCTCAACAGAGAAGTCATTTGCTTTTTCATTAACTTCTTTTCCGGTGATTTTGTCGACCGGCCTAGCATTGAAGATATGCAAATTCGGAAGCAGCTTCTTGACCTGATAAGGCAACATTCAGATTGTTATCATTTCAGAAAGCTCGAAAGTGTACCCCTCCTAACAATTAGTGCAACCAGAAAAAAAAAATGCTTACTTTCTTCAGTAAATTGTCCTTTTCGGCAATCGGATTTCCTTGTAGATTCAAATTTCTCAAATTAACTAATGATTGGAGCACCTGTCATGCAATTTCAAGACCAAGACTCATTGAGAAAAAAACACATAATCCAAAATAACATGGCTAAATACAATGATTGGCAAAAACATGTCACCTTTAGAGTTGACCAGTTCGTGATTAAGTTGTTTCCCATGTCAAGATTCTGAAGCTTCACGAGAATGCTGAACTCACTAGGAATAGTCTAAAAAAGAATGGGACAAGAATTAGCAGTATAGTTCGGGATACTTTGTACAGTGCCAAACTAACAATAAGAATATGTCATAAAGTACGCTAGATTATACCATGATCTCATTGTGAGCTAGGCGAAGCTCTTTTAACTCTAGGCAGGAATTGAGGGATGAATCAACTGTTCGGAGTTGGCAGTTAGAAAGAGAAAGCTGTAACATAAAATGGGGGGAATAAGTCATCTAGTAATCTAAACTTTATATTTTTATTCACCGGCGACAAGCTGATGTGGAGCATACTTTAGTTATTGATTTCAGTTTCAACAGAGATTCGCCTAGGGTAGTGATTGGATTCCTGGAAAGGACTGCATAGCTATGATTAGAAGAATCGAACAAGAAAATGCCAACTTGTAGGAACAGAAAAGGAGCACACATGCAACAAGATTAAGCCTTCATCTCACTAAGTGAAATTGGCAATATCTACATGCAATATAACACACCATAATTTTTGTTATATGTAAACATTACCTATCGTTCTTAGTTTTTTTTTTTTCTTTTTTTTTTCAATTTCGAAAGCCAAAAGAACAAATGCAGTCAATTAAATAATAAAAGAACCATTTTCTCATTTCTCTGAGAAAAATACACAAATTGCTCCACTGAATTATCTTATAGCTAAGAAGAAACATTACCGAATGTGCCTAGGTACACATCAAACTACTAACACAAAGATTCTGGAAACATACCTAGAGTGTTCAACTCCTTCAACCGATCAAGTTTGCACACAGAAGTGATCTCATTGTCTGCAAGAAAAAAAGGCAAAGGATATATATAAGTACAAACCAAATCAAAACATCCCTTAACTCTGCTATTTTTAGAAGTTACTGTACTTGCTACTCCAGAAAACCCTACCATTCAAAATCAATGCACGCAAGCTATCAAGAGACTTCACCTCATCCATAGATTTAAGCTTGTTTTTTCCGGCATTTAGTACCTGTGTCAGAATAGACAGAGATAAATGTGAAGTTGCTATTTGGAGTTTTCGACCGCAGAATTATAATTCATGAGCTGAAGCAATGAGCTCTATACATTATGGTAGTTAGAACAAAATTACAACTTCTATTGATAGTATCAGAATAATTGTATTAATAAATCAAGTACTGCACAAGTGGCAAATGGGTGAGAATTAGCAACCTATACAATCTTTAAGTTAATGATTAGAACTAGATTATGGCCAAGGAAACAATCCTGACAAAGTAGCAAAAGTCTAAGGCTAGATCATTCGAGCAACTTCCGAACCTAATCACGAAGGAACTTATATCTTCAAATAACAATGTAAAATCGTATGCCCTCAGCAAAAAGCAAGTATGAAAGAGGCAAACGGCCCACACGTGTACCACATCGACACACACACACAGGACGTCAATAACTAAGTTCATACAACAACAACAACAACAACTAAGTTCATAATGATTGTTTAAAGAATTCCAATGAGAGTCATAATATGAAACATTAGCATCATAATAATTGGTCACATACAGTGAGTTTATTCAGGCCTTCAACGCCTTTCAAGCTGTGAAGCTTGTTCTGCACCACTGATAACCACTTCAAATTTAGGCATAACTTCAAGCCCTGTGGTTATTTCAACCCTACAAAAATTAGCACCCAAGAAAGAGGAGGACAACACAGAAAAAGTGACATTTAACATAATTTCCCGGCATTGCAAATATTAGTGTGCTTACTACCTCAAGCGAGGTCAGATTATTGAATCCAAGATCGAGCCTTTCTAAGTTCTTGAACTCACTCAAGCACGACACCTGATAAAGCCCAAACAAAAATAAAAAATAATATAAATTGACTGATCTTTCGACAAATGTGCCAAAAATAACCAGAATATAGAACAAGCATGTAAAAAACAAAATTTTATTGTAAAACAGAGAATGTATGAATTACATCAGAAATAGCTCTGTGATTAAGGGAGAGAGAAGTAATGGAGTTGGAATCACTTGAATCTTTTTCTTGCAATATTTTCTTGGAGCTCAGCACGGACATGTTTGCGGAGTCTGCTAGGGTTTTTTCCTAAACCCCAGATTTTGACCTGGGTATGCGTGTATTTTGTTTTGGGAATTTTCAGGCGTTTACTTTTGTAAAAAAATGTCATAAAAATGTGACATGTTTTTCTTTCTTTCTTTTTTTAACTCAATCGCTATTCACCGCCCCCTTTTACTAGTCATCGCCCCCCCAATTACTCTTTTGCCCTTAACCCTTTTTTTGATTTCATCTCTCTAAACTTTCTATCT